TTAGCCCTTTTAATTGTGGCTTGTTAGGCTATCGGTGCCGTCCAGATTAGACTTCTTTTCGTCCGTAAATCTACCTATACCGCTTCACCGTCTTGCAATACGTAAAAAGAAAATCACTGCAGATTTCTCAATAGGTTCGTGCCAATGTACTTCTTAGTGCTTTTCGACATATGAGGCGCTACTTCCTTGTCAGCAGTTGCATACCCCAGATACAGCATTATGAACTGACGTCTGTGACTCGAACAAATCCTTCCAGTTTTCTGCTTTCCGCGTAGAAGCCTTAATGTGGCTGGATTTTCTGACGAATTGAACATCCATCCACGTCTTTTAAAGTTGTGCGGTCACTGACTTTTACATCCTGGTAACTCTGAACTTCGTTTTTTTTTTGCCCCAGTACTTGCGCTTCGTCTGGCATGGAACTGCAGAGTGTACGAGAAAGATAAATTTATTCACAGCCTGTATTAATAAACACAGACACCCAGGAACCGTATAAAATTAACCTTGGTAAAAAGCAATGTATTCTGGAAAAAAAATAATATTTTTGTTTTACTTTGAGATTCACCAAATATCAGCACAACCTCCCATAAAAAGAGCAAGTAAAAACTTGAAGCAAAACCGTTCACTTCAGAGATATCGAAGAAAATTAGGGTGAGCCAACTTCTGGGACACACTATATGTATATAGTAACAGAGAATAAGACCTAAAACAGACCTTTGCGTTATTGATGCCAGCTCCCTCAAATGATGGTGGGTCACCGCTCGTTTCAGATACGGTCAAGCGCATAACGGGGTTCGAAAATGACCGACCAGTATTCACGTTTTGTCAGGAATAGCCTTATCAGCAGCACTGGTTAGAAAAAAAATATAAGTTTGCTCAACGCTATTCCGAGATGTTTGAATACATGAATGCGCCATATACTACTGTGTAATTCATTGTAACTTTTTGAATCTATTTCATGGCATTCGATTCCTAAGGAAAACTCCACAATGTGAAGAAGAGGAAATAGCGAGTCGAAAGGCACGTGGTTCCCCTAAGGTGCGGGACAATGAGCTTATCACAAACAGTTGCGGCCTAGCACGGCTGTACACGCGCCGCTCCCGTCTCTGCACGTCCACCATTAGACGCCGTATAACTAAGTATAGCCATTACTCATATAGAGAGGCGAAGATGGAGCGTTAGCACTGAATAGTGCATCACCTATGAGATTCACGTCAGTGCGGAATTCAACGAGCGAGTGAGGGATCCCATCTATCGGATTCTCGATCGTTTCTCATAGTTCTTTCCGCATCACCGCACAACTATCCACCTCAACTTTAATTCAGATGAGCCGTCTTTTCGTCGTGAATTCCGCCCTTAATGAGGCTATGCTGCTGTCAAGAGTCGGTACACTGAATCCACTCAAACCCCTTGACTCTCGCATCTATGGGGTGCCCACATTATCAACGGTAAGTTGTGGTAAACCTCAACAAGGACGAAAGCTTTTTGCCTCTCCGATCATGTTTCATAGATGAGAAACCTCCGTGAATCAGGGCTTCCTCAGTACACCAAGAATACGGAAAAGAAAAAAAGTTGAAGAACTTTTAATGTCCGAGAGCTCACCGATCTAGGTGCTGTCATAAGGGTTGCAATGATGATGTCAGTAGCAAAAACGTTCCCTATTCCTTGTTGGGCCAACTCCTCTATGACTGGGTCTTCCGTGGTAGTAACATTATAGAAGTTGCCACCGCATCGTTGCAAAGTAATCGGATTTCGGACTGATACACGGTCGATGGCCTGGAAGTGCGTTAAATTATAAACATGAAATGTGTACAATATCACAGGAATGGTGGACTAAATAAACATTCTGTTGGAAAATCAAAAAATTGGGACACGTACCTTGTCGTAAAAGTGCAGGGTGCCATACAAATGTTTGCCAATGTCTTCGCCATTACCTACTCCAGGAAGGTTGAGTTTAAGAAGGCGAGGGAAGTCCATTTCTTCTATAACTTGCCATTCCGGACGGACTTGCACCGATGGAAGGCGATCCTAGACAAACATTCTTATAACACTTGGAAGAAGTGATCTTGCGAATCCAAATGATAAAGGGAGTCAAAAAGGAATGTGACTATAAGGTTTGCCAGCTCCCATTATGTAAAAAAAAAGTTTTCTGTTTGCTAGAGGCAAAAATTAAGAGACATGGCTTTTCGATTTCGTACATTTTGATATACATCCTAATAAAATGCTTGGGCATTCAGACCTCGAAACCGGAGAAGGAGATCAGAACTTCTTATCATCACTCCACTTTAATAACCACAACATTGGTGTCTCGGTTTATCGTAATGTAGGTCTACATGTATGTCGATTAGCATTTCAGTCTGTATGCAGCTAATGGAATAAACCAACCGATCTATGCTTCACGATATCGTGATTGTGATAAACCTGCAGCGGCTATACATGTGAACACCGACCGATCATTCTCAGTCATTCCACAAGGTGCTGCAGGGGGAGCTGGAGGGTTTGGGGAGAGGAGAAGAAGAGAAGAAAACCATCTGCTGTGAACTTGAGGACTAGCTAACATAGCTTTGAGCACCTGAGCAACGACCATCGGACTTTGAGCGCCTTCCTTCGCGATTTTTTTTCATTTTGATAAATCCGATTTCTCACAACCCGCGACTAATTAGGAAGACGCAAACTTGTGCTTAAAGATCGTACCCTTACAGTGAGCTCTTGAAGTCCCACTTTGAAAAGCAATTCAAGTGCTCAAATGCCTAACTTTCTGCTGCAGATTTGTCGAAAAGACTGCGCTGAGAAGGTCAAATATTGGCGACACGAAAGCCGTGTTTATTGCAATAATAAACCTTCTACTAAACAGAACGGTTGATACCTACCTTGGGCCTTTCTCCTGGATAACGGCCTCCAGGACCTCGCTGTCCTTGACGGGCATTTCCTCCGCGGCGTTGCCACATTTTGAAGGCACGCTGCTGCTCTCTAAAAATGAATGACCCTCGGTCCACATAGTGAAGACAATCGTGGAAAGAATGACAAAGATATCCGAACCACTAACTTGGCAATACTTCGTTTCATCTTCAGATTTTGCCCTTGTAAGGCTTGCTCACGCCTTTCTTGGTCTTTTTGTAGCAATTTTTTGAATTGTAATTGACGTGCGCGGTAATTACGTTGTGGATTACGTTGCACAGGCTTCGATGAGTCAACCTAAAATCCAAATATTTCTCTTCCTTTGCTAATATGCATGAAAAACGATAAAAAACCAAACTTTATGATAACGAGCCAATTTGGAAGTTGTTTTCATCCATACCGTGAACGTAGTCGAACTGACTACCTGCATTTGCGGCAGAGCCATACATTCTCTCGTTGTATCTGCAAAAAAACACCGATTTCGCACCATTAAGTTTCCATCTAACCCAGAAAAAATTGAAAGGACTGAAAAGCAGCACAAACGCTTGGAACTTGCCGTACCGTTCATTTACTTTCCGATAGAAAAATCGATCCACTCCAATCCAATCAGCGAACCACATGACCACTTGTCAGCCTAAATTGCGTGCACTATTAGGTTGTCTCATAAGTGATGTCGTTTTTTTTCAACCAAAAAATTTTCATCTAAATCATGAAACTTTTACATCGTTTTATATATCATTCGAAAGAGAATTGTCTGCTCTACAAAATGCTGTGTTCCGCTTCCACCGCTATTTCAGAGTTTTCGAATTTCAGGCCAGCAAAATGGGAGGTCTCGCCGGCAAAAATTGACCAAACCGACAACTGGCTGTAACTTTATTTTCCCTGGGGAGAAATCAACCAGTGATATACCCTCTACTTACCATGACCTCTTCTAAACATTCCACTCTTAGGTTGCCGAAAAAGCTTTGCCGTGTTTCTTTTCGAATTGGCTGACCGATAAGCCATAGCAATTTTCAAATTAAAATTGTTCCTCGTAAACGCCATTGTTTCATATCGAGTGGTGTTCCTTTTGTGAGCACTTCTTCTGCTCTACTTCGCTCATTTGCTTTGTTTCGAGTCGTGTCATGTGTATGGTTCCAACGGAATACATTCCGAATTTTATAGATGATTTTCGGATATACCAGGTGCTTTACCGCGAAGTGAGCCCACCACCACATTTCTTTGAAAAAAATTATCCCTTAGAAAATGAGAAAATCAACCAGTCGTACATTCCTAACTTAGTCATGACTTGTTCTTCAAATTCAACCAGTTCTTCAACGTCTCGGCCATAAAAAAATTTCGACCTAGATCACAGGTAATGGTGCTCGATCGTCGAGTTCTGGTTGAAAAACCAGCTCTGGAAATTGAACGACGCGATTTGTAGGAAAACCTAGTAGTGTAATGATTAGAAGAGGTCATGCATAAGTAGAAGGTACATCATAGATTGATTTCTCCCAAGGAAAGATAATGTTAGAGATAGTTGTCGGTTTGGCCATTTTTTGTCGGCCGGACCTCCCATTTCACAGGCCCAAAATTTGAAAACCCTGGAAGAAATGTGGAAGTGGGACATAGCATTTTGTAGAGCAGACAATTCTCTTTCGAATGGTACACAACACGATGTAAAAGCATGGAGGTTTAGATGAAAATTTTTTGGATGAAAAAAAGCGACACTGTTTATGAGACAACCTAATACTTTTGACGCTTATGAATAATTGTCTCTGCCTAGGTGGTTTCTGCACGAAAATGGTGTCCTATGGCAGCATCGAGCAAGGTAAACTGCTAGAGGAGGATAGCAGTGTAGAGCTCATTACAAAGAAGGCACAAGCATGGTGACAAAACGGTCGATTTTAAACCCGACAGGTCGAAGCAACATATGTACTAACCACACCAATGTTTACCCGTATCCTGAAAAATAGTTTACAATTATCACTCAAAATGAACTCTTTTAAGTCAGTTGCCTTCAATCGGTTTCTATGAAATTATCTAAGCAAATGAGAACTTTCAAAATTTCATGTTGTGCATTTCTGCAGCTTGCAGCGATCCAGTAAACTGCATGTTTTGCACTTCAACTTTAGTATCAACCACATGGGACAGCCCGCTATGCTAAGATTGGAGATTCAGCTGGTCACTCTTCGCTCAAGATGAAGTATAGCAAATTGGTTCGGTATCAAACTCATATCAAATTACATACGTAGCGGCGGGCAGACAAATCTTGGCGGTGACTCCAATCGTTTGAACATTACAGCTGATAAAACTATTCCAAAACTGCTTGGGTGGTATTTTGCTTGAAGGCTAAATACTACAATGGGTGTGTACGAGCTAGAGATTGAGAGTGGTCGAAAGGGAAAAAAAACAACAGAACCGCACTCCTGGCCCCGACTGGGGCCTCCTCCGCCTTTCAGCCTGGTATAGAGAAGGCGGGCGCGTTTGACGAGTTTCACAAATCTAGCTCCAGTGGCTTACAACCATGCAAACGCTGCCGCAATTGCACTCATGATTCGCTGGGTTAAGGGGCAGTGGTCAACCAGCACGCGAGAGTCCAGACAGAAAGCACATACTTCATCTCTTCTGTGACTAAGCCTTTTGAAGGAGGGAAAGAAAGCAGAGATGCTGTAATAGTGTGCATATGCGAGAGTGCCCAGAGAACACTACAAAATGCCGAATCACCAAGACTCCCAGTTAACCGCTGCTCTTGGATGTGATCGCTGTCACGTGGAGCTGAAACCGGAAGGCGAAGCTCATAGGCTACTAAAAAGGCGCGATACCAACGCCTACCCGCCTGTCTACTACGCTTGAGGATGGATCAAGTGAGCGTGCCTAATCCCGGACCGTGCCTTTAAGTGACTCCCGTCCAAGTAGACCAATGAGGGAAATGACGATTACTCACGCTCAACTAGGCTGATTTGAGATGTTATGTCCGCATGACAATACTTCTGCTCTGCTAGTTTTTGGAGATACTGACGAGCGTTTACGTTTCTGTTGATCAAAGATCAAAGATAAATAATTCCCCGTCGGCCTTCATATGAGCTCCGCAGAACTTTCCGGCCTTCTGCCCTGCTTTTCCTCTGCATATTTCAAAAGTGTCGCTGCGGTTCCAGCCTGCTATGCGCTATTCGTCGCATCGTTTGACCTGATACTTCTAAAAATACATCCATTCTCCATGAAATTGCATCACATACGCCTTTCCACAATACCCGACGAGCCTGCTTACTGTCGCGTAACTGCGCATCTCGAAGTATAATTATGACACTAATTCACGTTCCACCTTGGCAGAACTCTCACACAATTACTCAATCAAATCATACGATTCTCACTAAAAAAATTCTAGTATATCACACTTTCAAGGAAATTTTCCTCCGAAGGTTTTGACTGCATTTGCAGTCAAAACAAATAACTGCAAATCGAGAATGCATGAGGTACCCCAGAAACTGTACGGAAATTGCCTTTCCTGCGAATCACTTCAAAACTACATGGCCACTTATCCGATCCCATGGAACGAAAATATCAATTGAGTGAGGAGGAGAAAGTGGAAAGAGTACGCATTCCAACTCTTTCCGAAATGCATGTTGCCACTAAAGTTAAAAAAGGATATAAACCACAATCAGAGAAGTCTAGCAATCTCTAATCAAAAATTACTTAACATCTTAAAATACACAGAGACACCAAGCTTACTTCAGAAAATTAGCCAAAAATGCCAAAATCGAAGAAAACTGAAGTTCTTTCGAGATAAACTTTTGATGTCTCTTCAGGCAAGTCAACATTTAGATGCTGAAGAAGCTCAGGGACACCACTACTAAGGAAATACTTACTTTGTTGTACTGCTGGAACGGAATTGATGTGTCCAGAGCGGGTGGATTTCCAAGCGGTCCCCATCCGGTTGGGTTCGCAGCCATATCGCACAAATCAAACTTGGGTAACGCCATATTCTTGAAACTATTTAGTCATTCGGT